TTTTTCCCTCTCATAGCCGCATTAGGTTGTCTATGACAACGATTATAAATGAAAAAAAATTATTTCTATTTCTTCTACTTGGTTGTGTTCTATGACTTTTTCTATGATTCCATTGTTTGCAAATCGATTATTTCAATGATTGCTCAAGAAATGTATAACAGTGTTAATTCAGTTTTATTTTTAGCCCATATCAAATTGTCCAGGATTTCTCGCTCTTTTCGATTGTAATAATTACACCAACCCAAGTTTCGTCTACAGATGCAATATGCCAACGAATATCACCTACGTACAATCTCCAAGAAGTGGTAAAAAAGGCAGAAACCAACCCATACAATAGAAATAAGTTAACTCCAAAAGAAATAATTTTAAGAGTTACTGTGATATTAGGATTTTCCACTGATTTGGGAATAGAACATTATATTGCAAAACATGACACGATGCAGAAGAAAATCCAATTTATCAATCAGAAAAACCCATTGCAAATACTGTACTTCATTTTGACAACTTCAATAAATCACAATTTAAATATTAACAGCTGTTGCATTAAAAGGTAGTGTAGAATTATGCATATGGTCGTAATGTAAACACATCTGAAGAGGCAACCTTAAAGGCTTCTGGGGCAGAGCCCCAAGGGAATTTACCTCTTTCCTCTTTTGATGGCTCATCTACAGACCAAGACCTTTCTTTAGAGACCCCTACCAAGTTTCTACGCCCAGTCGTTCTCTCAAATTAGCTGTGACAAAAACCCCGTTTCCCTCCATAAGAATAACATGGGATGGGAATTTAAAGGACACAGGGGCAGAGCCCCAAGGGAATTCACCATGTTTCTCTTTTGATGGCTCATCTGCAGACCAAGACCTTTCTTTAGACACCTCTACCGAGTTTCTACGCCCAGCCGTTCTCTCAAAATAGCTGTGACAAAGAAAAACAGTTTCAAATTAATATATAGATAATAACTCAACAGATGATTAAGCAACATACATTTAAGCACAAAAAATGGTGGGGAAACTTCCCCTCAAACAACCTACAGTAAATTTTGTGAACAGAGTATCAGATCATTTGTTTCTGTATCCTGGATATTTTGTTTTGAACACAATGCCTATTAGTGGGGGTCACTTTTGAACCATACGTCATCATCTGACTATTCTCAGGCTATAACTTGCAACTTGATGTATATTTTAAACATTTTTATATCATAGATTTTTTAACCCATTGATAACAACTAATGAGTGTAGATCGCCACCGCAGTTGCCACAAGATAGTCGTACTGCATACGCACTGTTCCACAAATCGACATCGAAGCTAACCTACCAGCACAATTGTCATCATCGTGCTTAGCCTGGCAATCGACCTGTTTACCTAACAGTGTCATGGTATTCAGTTAGCTAAAGCGTTGCACTGACGACTGTGGCGTTCAGGTATTTCTACATGCGCAAGTTTGAATCCCGTACATATGCAACAGAAATTGACCTTAATAACGGCTTAGCTGGAGCGGAGGGCCATTCCTAAATAAACGGTGTCCGGCTGGGGTTGAAGTAGATGGCAATAGTGAGATTAATTTCACACATCACCTATTTTGCTTAGATTGTTACAGTATTGAGGAGTCGGACATACTGTCTTGTACTCACGAGTGTGGGAGCAAAAAAATGCAACCCGCACAACATCATGCTATGGTATAGCGCGGTCAGCATGGCAACAGCCAAAACTTTCCCTTGCGCCTGCAAAACTCACTCCCATACTGGTGAGTCCACAACAGTAGATTTTGGCTTTTATTTTGGTTAAAAATTGACAATTGTGTTGAAAGACACAAAAGGACATGACTTAAAAAAAATATCATTAGAAATATAAAAAAAATCTGTTGTCAACGGGTTGAATCTTGATTTTCCATCCAAGCTTCAATATAACAGATTTATCAAGTTTGATTTCCCTTACTGTCGCCTCAGTCAGTCATGCCTGTACAGTCACACACTAACACAGCAGTTGGTCTATTGATGGCTGCCACATTCCATTCTGATTATTTATTTTTATTTTTTTTTAAGGGAGAGGAGGGAAAATGCTTTTACGCACAAAGGTAGCCAGCCTGTAGTGTGAGACTCCTGAATCTTTCACAGACTACTCACTAAAAAACCCCCTCTACTCTGTTGGACACAGACCTGGAATTGTTTGTCACATTACTTCAAGTCAGGCCAACATTGACCTAATCCATCAGAGCTCTCACCGTTTTTGGCATTTAGATACCTTATGACCTACACCGCATTCCGGTCAAGGTCGAGCTTCTTGGCGCAGAGAATACCCTGGATGTAATGTGACACACAGGTCCAAATTGTCCTCATCGGTATGACCGTGTCCACTGACAGCAGTCCTACTAACTGTTGAGCCTCCAGGTGGGGCCTTTCCCAACGCTGGCAGTGGAAAAGGGTATGTTCCATGTCATCGGGAATGCCTGGGCAGTATATGCAATCGGGTGACACGGCTTTGCCCATCCTGAACAGGTACGACCGGAAAAAGCCGTGACCCATCAGAAATTGGGTGAGGTAGAAGTCTCCGCACCGCCGATTAACCCAAGGTTGGACTTGCTGTATCAGTCGCCTGGTCCAGCGTCCCCGAGTCTCCTGTTCTCAGCTCTCCTGCCACAGCTGGTAGGTGCGGGTGCGTTCCTCTGTTCGTGCCTGGTCCTCCCCACGGCGCTGATAAATTGCCTTTCTCTCCGCTGCCAAAAGTTTGACGGGGATGACTCCAGCAACCACCAGGACAGCGGGTTCGGACACTGATCGGTAGGCGGATGCAACTCTTAGTGCTGCCTGACGCTGCACTCGGGCGAGCCGCATCCTATATACCTCCTTATTGAGAGCGTCTGCCCACACCTCAGCACCGTACAAGAGTACGGACTGGACAGAAGACATTAACAGCTGGACCGAGGACCTCCGACATTGGCCATCAACCGGCTAAGAGAGGAGACCACCCTAGCGGCCTTGTCCGCCGTACGTAAAATCTGATCCCGCCAGCTGAGCTTGCTGTCCACCATAACCCCAAGGTACTTGGCAGAACGAACGGTCTGAACTTCGACGGCTCCTACCCTCAACAGCACGATGGTGTCAATCCGTTTTTTTTGTTGTTAATATCACAATCTCAGTTTTGCTCAAAGCAAGCGAGAGACCGTGGTCTGTCATCCATGCGTTTATGGTTCGCATAACTCGGTTCAGCTTTAGCTGAGCCAGCTCAACACTACATGCAGCTATTGAAACTGCAACGTCGTCTGCGTACCCAACCAAAACAGTTTCCTCAGGCATTTCAGAAGTATGGGCCGAGTGTGGAACCTTGGGAAGCACCGGAAGTGACACACTCATCGTCCGTGGGCCCTCTGTAGTTTCATACATGAGAAGGCGGAACCGGAGAAAATCCTCTATGATTCCATTCTGATTATAGATTCAACTACTTTTGAAGTTACCATAACCTTTAATTAGTTATGTCTTTTATATAGCTTAGTGGATGTATGAGGACTGCTAAAACAGTATCCGACCTAGTTCAGGAAAAGCATAATTTATTGATCGATTTGTTTTAACATGTGATCTCCGATCTCCTTCAAAACAGTCATCTTGGGAATTTGAATTTACACACTTAGTCTAGTGCCCCTGCCACTTTTGGAAACAAGCCTGGTACTCTTCCTTCTTAATGGACTTCAGGCGAGTAGTCGTGTTTTGTGTTACCTCATTTCTGCTCTGAAATCGTGTTCCTTTAAGCAGCATCTTCAAGGTAGGGAACAGCCAGAAGTCACACGGTGCCATATCTGGTGAGTAGGGGGCATGGCATAGCACAGGAATGCCATGTTTTGCCAAGAAGCCTTGAACAAGATTAAGAGAATACACTGGAGCATTGTCCTGATGAATGCACCATGAGTTTGTGGCCCACAAATCGGGATCCTTGCGATGGGTAGAACTTCTAAGTAGTACTGTTTAGTAATGTTTTGTTCCTCACATGCACGCTCATGATAAACTACTCTATTGCAGTAGAAAAAACAGTCAGCCTGACTTTGATTTTGCTTTGAACAGGCTTCCTTTTTTGGCTGCGGCGATGTTGAGTGTTTCCAGAGAAGACTACACCTTGGTTTCGGGAACATACCCGTACACCCACAACTTATTCCAAGTTATAACTGTTTTGAGAAAGTTACGTCCATTCTGAATGCATTCCAGCATGTCTTGAGCAACTTCAAGCCGCAATTTCTTTTGTTCATCAGTCAAGTTCTTTGGGGGCAAAATTTTGCAGCAACTGCACATAGCCAAATTTTCTGTTAACAGAATAAACTAAACCATAATACTGATTCCATCTTCCGTAATTAGTTCACAAATAGTAATACGTTGGCCCTCCATCACTTAAACTCAAACATGATCGGTAACTTCATCGTTTCGACTAGTTCATGGTCTCCCAGAACGAGGTTACTGTCCACCGAAGTGTGGCCATCTTTGAATCTGTTGTAGCACTTTTTTTATCTGTATTACACCCATAGAGTTTTCTCCAAAGGCTTCCTGAATCTTAAGAATCGTTTGAGTTTGGGTACCACCCAGTTTTTGGCAACATTTAAAGCAGTACCCCTGTTTCATCATTTTGCTCAACTTAGCAAAAATCACAAAAAACACTACATACACAGTTCCACGTTTGGCGGCCGACAACTAAATGACACCATGTCCTGGCCAAGTGACATGCTTAGCAGTTGCCTCGATCTACACGCCAGGGTGCAGGTCTGTACGGTTTTTGGATTACTAGATGAAAAGTAATGTCGGATACTTTTTGAACGTGACTTTGTATAGTGCTCGTCAAATAATCAGAGGGTTACCAGTTTATTACTAAGGAAAGTCAGTAGCTTTTTGTTGGTGGTTCGATCAGCTTTAGCTTGAGACACAACTCTGAAATTTAATCCACAGACAACCTAATCCTGCTTTACGCAGTATTACCTAATTAATTGTATTATAACTCAGAGAGGGGAGGGAGGAATAACACAAAACATAGTTTGACTGTTTATTTAACCAACATAAATATTGCACAAGACTTGATTTGTTCCGTAACGTGTTAGAATCAAAGTTGAGTTAAATGCCCCTGTAAATCTAATCTTTTTAAAAGCATGAAAAGCCTACAACAATACGATATGTAATTTGAAACGGGTAAAGAAATACTTAAAAAAAACATTCAATGAAAAGGTGGTACAATATTTTAAATCTTAAAATTCTAGGCGCTGAAACTTTAAGTTGGAATTTTCAAGCTGTGAAATTGTCAGAGCAAATAATAGAGATCTTCAACACAGAATATAAAGTATTATAAATATTTTTACAGTTTTCTCTCAAATGTATCACTGAATCGACTCTGTATATACCTGCCATCAGATGGCAACCACGCTAAAATATACATACTATTAAACTTTCTCCCCTACCAAGGCCCAAAATCACATGGAGCTGAGCGAACGAGGGAGAATTGAAGTGTGACCAGGAGAATTGTGGTGTTCCTATCTATTCGGCAATAGTAAACTCTCGTTTGCCCTCTCCAATACTAAAACGTACTAATCCCTATTCTAATTTTAAAACTTAGTTATATTTAGGCACTTCATCTTGATGAAATTAGAAAACAAAACGTAACAAAGATAATACAAATTGTATTTACTAAAAACACATCCTATTCATGCATATAAAATTTATATTTATTTAGTTAAAAGACCTACCATTAAAAAAAAAACTAAATTACCAAATTTCCTGCAAAATTTACTAAAATTTTCAAACATTGCTAAACAATCATCTTATGAAAATTGTGGTAAAAAGTAGAAAGTTCCCTATTAAGGTTACGAGACATATTTTGAGATACAATAAATTGCAAAACAAGTGATAAATTCACAATTGATTAGCTAAGGGAAATCTAAGTTGTGAAATAGAGTTGCTACTCAATATCTTGCTTCGTATGCCGCCAACATCTTTAAACAACAAAATTTAAAAAATATTATTTTCATATTGAGATTTGGATATTTTTCCCAACGACTGATTTGAAACTACTTTAGTTAAAAAATTTGAAATCATCAAAAGACAGGTGGTATTTCAAACAAGCATTTCTTTTAATGGGGCGGAGGGAGAAATTTTGTTTATGATGATACCTAGACCTAACATTTTGAAAATATTAAAACTGAAATAGCGTAGAGCAGGAGATCAAATGTAGGTGGTATAAAAGGAATGGTCAGATTTGAAGAGCTCTATGTTGGAAAAATATGAGTGATAAAATGTGTCTCAGGCTACATGTCAATCAAAGTGCCTAATCTTTCTAGAGAAACATCATCGTGTATGGACAGTTTCTTAAAAAGTGAATTTTGTTATCTTTTGTCACACATAAATTCCATAGCCATGTATGTCAATGATGCGTGCATGCACTGATCCTTGATTTCAAACAATCTGCCATCCATGTTTTACAACTAAGGATGAGCAAACAGAAAACATCAAATACCCAAAAGATGGTAGCTCAAGTCAACAAAGTGCAAGACTGTCTTGTGCTTAAGAGTCTCCATCAAAACCAAGACTTGTTGTTAGTAATGTTTGTAAAAGTTCCTCCATTGAATATTGTTGCCTCGCCTTCCACTGCTCAAATAATGATAGCCAGTTAACAACTTGTTAGAGTAGACCTTATTAGTCTTCATTCACTGATGGGATTATCAAATCCAACCATTCTTTTTAAACCACCCAACACATTGTTTCACATTGCCTGATAGGAAAAAATAAATATTTGTGTGAAGAATTGTAGTGAATGACTTCATTTAAAGTCATAGAGTGTCATTTAATTTGAATCCGGAGGCACGGAGGTTTAAACTCATATCTTTTCTATGATAGACTTCACTACATTTAAAACACTGATGAATATTTTTTTAATAATCTAATACATGAATATATACTGGACATAATAAACAAATCTTAACGGCAGCCTGCTTTGACTCACCATGCTTTAACTCACCATAATAGAGGTTAATTTAAACAAATATTATAAAACACATAACTTAAAAAGCCTTATATCTTTTGCTAATATCACATTATTGCTCAACTTTGAGCGACGAGTCCTTTAATAAAATACAAAACTTGCTAAACATTGAGCTAAGAAAAAAGATTCTTCAGTAGAGAGCAATTTGCTGAGGAATGGATGAAACTATTGTACTAAAAACATTTGTACTAGTGTTGTTGATTTCACATGCTGTTTTAAATCTAAATACTGAATCATAGTTTGAAAATGTAGTGTTTAAAAAACGTTTTGTCCTGCTATAAAATTTTATTAAGATCCATGTGGTGATAAAACATACGATGTCTTAAAATTTAGACTCAATCAGGTTGCTATTGGTAAAACCTTTCATTTATTAATCATTACTGCGTACTTTGCAACATGAGAACATTAATTGACATTTCAAGGTCACACTACAACCTCCTCTCGGCCACTCTTAAACTTCGCTCCTCACAAAACATAGCTACATTTACTATCCGTTAATTTAATAAAACTTTGTCTGTTAATGTTAACTATACAGCAATTAATACACTAAAACGATTTATCAAATCTTTGTACAGCATTAAATTACATGAAAATATTACATAAATCATCTAACAATAATGCATATTTCACAGACATCGATAAGTATTTCAATTATTAATATATCACAACAAAATTGCATTGCAGTGCTCACGGTTAGTGAAACAGCAACTGGGACACATCCCGCACACCCAAAACTTGTCAACCCTGCGCAAATAAATAAACAATAACTACCGTAACTTAACTACAGTGTTCTTGTGGGAAAGTTATAAAAAGATCATCCTTATTCCCATCTTAAAATAGTTAATTTTTCACCGAGTTTAGATGTACAGTTTTTTTTTCTCGGTTACAATCTAAGACGAGAATGTGGACAATGTTAAAAAATTAGTAACAATAAAAATGTACATACAGATTATGTACAGTTTAATAAGACTAAATAATAATTACCGTACATAATATCACAGCCACTGTATTGTATGTAAGTTAAAAAAATCCTGTTAAGTATATTTTACACCCGAATTCTCCCTATTTCAGCCAAAGCTCAGATATAGCGTTTTTTATTTGTTAAATAGTTTTTCTGAGACAACGTCGAGTTACTTTCTGTGAAACATATAAAATACAAGAATTCAAAGTGAGTTCTTGATAATACTTTAATTTAGTTTCTCGAGTTTTGGCTGAATCCATAATAGTTTTTGAGTGCATGGGATGTATTCTGTTTATCAAAGTTGAGGACTACACACAACATAAGTCGAGTATCGCAAAACACATTAGTAAATACTCTCATGCACTCCGATGTAAAAATATTTGTGTATAAAAAGCTACCTTCTCAATCACTCAAAACAGACACTATAAAATACTTTCCATATCTCGACACCTTAAACAAACTTACTTCCTATAGACCGATCAAAAACTAATATATCGTCTTATCACATATCTCCAGACCTTACGTTACATTCGACCAGTCGAGTCGAAGTTCAACAGCTAGTAAAACAATCACAAAATACGATACGATCCCGACTGTTGAATTCCGACCTAGCTAAAATTCACACTTTAGCACCGTGATAAAACAATTACTTAGATAGAGGAAGAGAGAAAAAGACACAGCATGCACATGAAGATGAGCAGTTCACAAGGGCTCGCGCCGCATCTACGAAATATGGCAACATTAACAATTTATGGCAATAGACTTTCTGTTATTATATATTTTTATCACATTCGTTGCTAATTTGTTACTAACGTTCGATCATATCACAAAATTACTCTCCCTAGGAAGCACTAGCGGACGGCAGTGGCAGCCTGTCCCACTATCACTAGATATCACGTCAAGACATTGCTCTTGATTATTGCATCCCGTACAGCCATAGATATCACCATGGCAGAAACATTTAGTAGCTATAAATACTCATACCAGGCCTACAGTACTCGGAGTTGTCAAGTGTTCCTCTCTAACATTTCAGTAATCTTTGAGTGAATGTTTTATGTACCTTAAATACTTCAAAAGAACATTAAAAGCATTTGTTTCGGAAGTACAAACATACTTTTAAGTACAATACCACAAGTAACTTTTCAACTATAAAATACACAGGAAAGATCATTGGGTAAATCTTTGCATCAAAAGTTATTTTACACGAAAATTCAATTAGTTAAGAATTTAAATAATTATGTCAGAGAGGAAACATCTTGAAAACATTTCACATCGGACACCACAAATATAAAACAAAATATTGATCTTCTACTTTTGAACATTGAATTTTAAGACATTGAACATAAACTGTTAAATACAGCAGTACCACGTTATGTACAAAGATAAGTGTGGGGAACATATGAATACACCAAGAATCCACATTACTTCACAAACAATGGAACAGTTGAGATAAACTTGATCCAAACGATGCTGGGAAATAATTCTATTTCGATTGAATATACAAAATAAATTAGCTTTTACAAATAACTCCCAACACACCTAATATCTGAATTGTTCTAAACCGTTTGAAACTATCAATTGTACAAGTATATTACAGTTTTGTATGATTTAACAGATGTTCGAACGTAATTAAATTTGTAGTCGAGTTACATATTATCACACAGCTTTGAACTTCTGTTTAAAATATTAATATTATGTTTAAAAACCATCCAACAACTTAAGTTAAACATCAAAATTGTATATTAGGGCAAAACTACACACATTTGTTTTAATAAGCTTGTAATAGTTTCCACAACTGATTACCTAAGTAAACCAAGTCAAAAATGTGACAGGAAAAAAAAACGTGATCCACAACAAAGTAAATAAACATTTTTACAGAATGTCTCTTTTAACAGGTAAACTACAATCTCGTAAACCATCTTTCTGGATAGTACAGTATTGTATTGCTTTTGGTTGACTTTGGTTTACATAGCCCAGGAGAGAAACAGAATTTAAGAACATTATTGGATTCACACTTATTAAGTAAATGTTAACAAAAAATAAGACTCTGTGAAAGCAAATTTAAAAACAAATATATGAAAACTCAATGAAGAGTTGCTACTTCTAGGAACTAACAGTAGAGGTTAGTGTGTACTATATATCACCGTCAAGTTTTGTACAACGTATCATCGGCCGACTTGTGGCAGTATTAGGCAGTTCTATTGTAGTTTTTGTTTCATGGTTTTGCACAGTAGTTGAATGATTTGTACTTTGACCAAACTAAGAAAAATACTAGATCCGACCAACTACTTTAAAAATTTCATTGAAAAAACAATAAAACTAAGATGAATCTGTACTTTATTCCTAAGAAGGGTACTAAGTACTTAGATTAATTAATGAAAGCACAAAAACGCTATGAGATCAAATGTTTGCGGTTCATTGAACCAATCGTTGATTTGATCTAGTATTTTCCAATACAATATTAAAATTAAAAGTTTAGAACCAACTTCACACTCTCCAATTTCAGAAAGGCACCAAAAAACTGAAACTGCTATTTTTCCGATCAAACAAAGAAAGCATAGTGAGCAATCCATTTGTACGAAGCGTTACAGTAAATTTTATATTTCACATTTATGGAATTTGTACGGAAAAGCAGGGTGCTGGTATGTGTTGCTATTAAGTAATTAGGAAGCTGATTAAGTCATTGCTGCATTATTGATTTATTACACTTTAAAATTACAATTATGGCTCTTATTTTATTTAGTACAAAACTCCAGAAGTTGAGTTATTCTAGAGTTTAGAGGAATGAAGTCTGAATTCTGCTATATTTTATACTTAATAGTTAGCCGCAGTGAAGCTTAAAGCCTTTGAGAATCAATTCTAGATATTAAAAACACTACATCCTTTACAAATGTAATATTTTTTTACTGCTAAATGGAAATATTTAAAGAGCGCAAAATTCTATCATTCTATAGCAAATCTTTGAAGGTGATTTCCTAAGAATTTGACTGCCTATGAAGCCTGCCATAATCAATTGTTATAATATTTTACTATGATTACCAGGAACACGATTTAAACATAAACATCAGAAACAACAATATAATAAAGGTTGCTTTGTAAAATTCAATTTTCCTACCACTGCATGGAAATGCAGTGGCCAAACAGTACCTACACAAAACAGCTCATTTCCGCTTATCTCATTCTCCCTCACTAAATCAGCTGATTTCACTGTTGGCGTTTAAAACACTAACATCCGGTAAGCAAATAACATTACCTAAATAACATTTTATATACAACTAAAAGTTTATCCGTGTATTATGATAAGTTAATTATGGTTGTAGAAAAAAATCTTGTGTGTATTACGAGTACAGTCATTGCCGGTCTCGAAATGTATGGCAGCACAGTTCTCGAGCTGCAATGAAGTACTCCGTGCTCCTAATAGACAAATAGTAATTTTATTAAGAATGTAAGAAATTTTTTATGAAAGCTGACAAATAACCCCCCAGTCACCTGAATAATTAGGAGGACAGGTCGTCCACCCTAGGAGCTAGGGTGTAGCTCCTACACATACTTTTCTTTTGCTCCTATTTTTTTTTCCTCATTAACACGCTAACGTTTCTTTACAAGGTACTCAGCAATTTAGATCAGGGGTGTTTAATAAATTGTTATGGAAAATGATTCCTAATTTTAAGGGATTTTGATTGGTATGCATCAGTATATTTACAACAAAATTGTAAACATACTTTAAATTAATTTTGAAAAACTCGTAAAACTAACAGATGATAAAAATTAACACAATTACCAGCACCCTAAGAGAGTAGCAAGAGCTTCACTTAATCATGAACCTCTTTTGCTTTTGCCTATTTCTGAGTAATTTTGTCTTATTTCACAACAAAAGATGGGTTTTCTATCCATGATAATATTGAAACATCAAGAGGTAGATAAGTTACTTATAGTGTACAATGCAAAAACTGTCACAAAGTTAAGCAAATCAGATAAAATCTGATGTTGTAGGCCTACTTTAAAATATTGTTTATTTGTACTCTTTCTTCTCAGCTAGCCAAGTAATACCTAAATATAGTAAACCCTCATTAAACCACACCCCATTAATGTAGATTGTGGACTATTATATGACAGAAGTTTGTAAAAATGTCATGCGGCTATGTTAGGTTTGCACCTCTGTAAACTTAGCAGTTTTGCTACAAAGTTTAACAAAGTTTACTGTGCTTCAGTTAGTTTACTGCCCCGTTTTCCCATTTAAGAATCAGTTTCTAGCTGTTTACTTCAAAACATGTTTCATTCCATGCAAGGATACCCCAAAATGAAGTTAAACAACATTGTTTTACAGCTTGAATAACTATTTACAAATAACGTTGCTTTTCCTGTTGAAACACTATTTTCATCTGCCCTTAAGGTTTGAAACTATATTACTGACTGGTTTGCCCAACAGAAGAAAATATCTCGTTCCATGGATATACTGTAGTTAGTCATGTACTTTGATCACAAACTTGCTGTACTATTACGTTGTATGAAAAAAAAAACCATAAACACCGTATTTAGTCTAGAAAAATTAATGCATGTTGTCTAACAAAACAAATATTGTCAAACAATTTGTATGTCCTAGGCTATGCTGGAAAACCCATCTTTTGTTGTTTGCCATAAATATGGACCTTCACATATTAATAATCTATGTCTATGAATTACCAGAGGTAGAGCAGAGTGATGACGGAGGTAGATAAACAGTAAAACACCAACGATTGTCTACAAACCAGTCCAACTGACGAAACCACAATTATTCTTCCCTTAAACTAGACCCCGTATTCCTCAATCCCTTATAAAATACATACCGTCTATAATAAATAAATAAATAAATAAAATCAACATCTATTTTCATAAGTTATGTTCTCCTACTATTTGATCATAATGCCTTTATATTTATCACACAACGCTTTTATTCGATTAAACTCGCTTCAGAGGTTGTCTCGTTTTCAATGCTTCGATATCACAAATTCCTTTAAAATGTAAAGATAAAAACTTTCACAACATCGATAATATTAAAAATTGTTCACAACACTCCTAATTGAAATATTAAACTGTTAGAGGCTAACGTTGATGGTGGGAGTTGTGTATGTGCGTGGTGAGGTGTTTGGAGAGGTAGTCGGCGCGTGCGAAGCATTTGCCGCACATCTCGCAGTGGTAGGGTCGTTCGCCCGTGTGGATGCGCAGATGCCGCGTCAGGTCGCTCTTGCCTCCGAATGCTCGGCCGCAGAACAAACATGCAAAAGGACGTTCCCCTGTGTGTTTCCTGACATGTAACTTCAGATTCTCTTTGGATCTAACACATTTTCCACAGAAGGGACAGGCGAAGGAGCGTCTTTCTCTTTGTCTCTCTTCAGCCCCGAGACTCAACAGACCCAGCAGAGATGCCTCGCTAGAGCCCAGAGCCAATGCTAGAGAGTCCACCGTATCGTCTTGTTCGGGAGGGCAAGGAGAGGTTGGAGGACGGTTGTTAGATCCTTCTGCCTCATTAGTACTCGTAACTTCGTCATTGACACTTCTCGCTGACGTGCTGACTCCTTCGCTTCTTTCGCTATTCTCACTCCGAGTATCACTCCTATCGCCCCTGTCGTGACTCTCGCTTTCACTTCTTTCGCTCCTTTCGCTTTGTTCACTTCTTTCGCTTCTCTCGCTCCGACGGCTGTCAGAAGCTGCTGATCCTGGTCTGTGGAAAGGATTATGAAGTCTTTCTAGAGCGTGGTTTAGTCGGTGTTTCTTGAAGGACTTCAAATAACGAAACTGCATTCCGCATACGTCGCAGGTAAACAGCTTGTCGGCGGGAAGTCTGGCTCGGTGGTTTTGTTCTCGGTGCTTGAGGAATGCGGAGCGATACCGATAGCTCTGGCCGCATTGATCGCATCGGAAGGGTTTGTCCTCGGTGGGCTCGGGGGCATGGCTGCGTGGTGCCTGGCCGGAGTGTTGCAATGCCGTGTGTTGTTCCAGTAGCCACGCGGAGGGGAAACCTGCTAGACAGACGGCGCAGCGGAGAGTCCCCTCAGTTGGAGGCAATGGGGGTAGTAAACCTTGCTGACTGAGTAGACTGAGGAGAGTCTCACTGTGAGGGTAGCACGGAGGCAACGGTGGGAACGGTGGATACTGGAATGGTGTTGCGGATCTACCAGAGGCCAGCTGATCATACGGGGTGCCACGATGTCTGGGGAAACATGAGGGTCCGTAAACTCCTTCTACCAGGCACACCTCCTGGAACATAAAACAAGGTTGAAATAAATAATAGATGTTTTAGTACCTATAGGTAACATAACAATATGTTTTGACAAAGTAGACAACTATCGACGTCGATAAAATATAGAACATGTAAAATCAAACTTGTGAACAAAACTGATTTAAACTTCAGGTGCAATTGATTAACATTGGCTTCTTCAGTCTTTTTTATTCATAATTCATCACTGGTTTCAGCAAAACAATAGCCACATTTATACCTTTAATTGAATGCAATTCTGATGTGTGTAGTATGGCAGTATGGGTAGGTGGCTAGACTAACTCAGAAATAGCTACTAATTACTTACTTGAACAGTTACTTAAGTTATAACTGCAATTTCAGGAGTTACCATCTAATATGTTTTGGTTTAACTCACCCTTACCTTTTGATCTCAACATCTCAAGTCTTCAGGCACTGACTCCATCAAGTTTTATAGTTACTAAATAATTTTTTTCTTGTAATTCTATTTGGCTACTAAAACTATACATTGCAACTTATTTATAATCAAAAATATAAAACAGGTTATATTGACTTAACACCAGCATAAAATAATACATCTATTACAACAGAATTAAAACAAAACCTTGTAACAATAATCAAACAGCTGTTGCAAATAAATATTAAATAAAATAAGAATATACAGCTGTGCTGAAGTAGAGGCCACAAGACTTTTGAATAGCGATTGGTGTAGTGAATAACCACAGTTAAAACGCAAATAGTGAATATCCACTGTAACTTGTTCCGAACTCAATAAAAAAAATGAAAGGTTATTTTAATACATAACATTTCTAGTATCAGTTGACTATTCAAGTATCCCTTAGCTAAGCCTGGCTGTAATTTTATTTTTGGGTGGTTAACCAATTTACATACAATCTCTTTTGTTATTTGCTGTAAAAGTTACATTACATTTCAATTTTGTAACTGAAAAGATTAGTTTGAAATCATTCAACAGTATGTTAATCTAGTATATAAAAAAAAATTGTTTGGCAGAGGCAAGTAGAAAGGCACAATATTCGATTTTCAAGCATTTTATTTTCCAAAAATTGCTTTACAGCTATGATATGCATTTTCGTTTTACTCTCTAATCGATGAAACAAAGCATCAAACAATGGCGAAATAAACTTTTTGTAACATTTATTCAATTATAACAGACAAGCCGTATAATATACTAACAGATAATTTAGCGTACCAAGAACTAATATCACATCTCTTAACCCAATAAGAAATAAGCTCACGAGACGGTTAGGATTAGATCACCAGGAACGTGCTATAACGTAACTGGGGGCAAGAGGAGGAACTTAAACTGCCACTGTATGTACAGCACTAACTAAAATGGCAACAAATGATAGGATAACCGCTTACAACTATCGGCTAACAACTCGCGGCTCTCCGAGTCCATCCTTGTCTGGCAATCTGTATTGTCTATTAAATATTTGAACTTTACCATTTGTAAACAGTTTCAAAACTATATACGTAGTTCTACTAATGATTTGGTGTTTGTTTGATTTGTCTGCGGCACTGATTATTGCGCGATAAAACAGATACAGGCCAGTGGGGACTCGTGGGGACCAGAGGTAGAGTACAAACATAGGGTTTCACTATTAAAACTAATACGGCTTCCATTTATTCATCAGTGTGTTTTGAATTTTGTACTTTGTATGTCAGTTAAAGCTATACTTTTGTATATTTGTTTCGCTTGTACTGTACTTTTATTCATCCTCAACTAAGCAATAATGACCTTTCTAAATCTTTATTCCATATTTCCAGGTAAGTAGGGAAAAGTTTCAACGAAACTAAATGTCTAATTTAAAGGGGTCTGGATTATTTTAATTGTATTTTAAACTTACAACTCGTGATATATTTCTCATTTAAAGGGCCAGTATTCAAAACAATTTAAAAACATTTAAATGAAACATATGAATAAAACACAAGCTGGAAAATTATAGAAGGTCACTCGTAAACATGTTTTTTAATTACATTAGTATTTTAGGCAACAGTATAACCAAGATTAAACATACTCGCTTATAGATTATCGTCCTTAAGGAGCAATGTATGTTGGATATATCCAAATTCAACAGTAAAGCATTAAACATCACTTGACATAACAAAATAATTCAACTATCATTCCTCTGGTCCTGCTGTATTATTTGATGAAAGTAAAACATACTTAGAAGTGTTTAGGATTTGAAAGCATAACAATTGACTAACCTAATGCCGACAACCCAGCCCACCTCTCCTCAAAGTCAAGTGATAATTAAGTTTTCTTCACATATATTAAGTTAGCTGTATATCATCACATGCTATCACAGACTTTCTGAATTCTTCTGCTTACAATACAACATTTACAACACCCCTCTGTAAATAAATCTATTTCACCGCACAATTACAATTGTTACAAAAATACAAAACTCTCATTCTGTCAAGGCAAACCACAGCCAACCTGTTGCGACGCGAAAACAACACTTTCGACGGGTTCCGGCAGCTTCGTGTATTGTGGATCACATTCGAATAACATGTAAATACTCGTACATTGTCAAACATTGATTGTTTTTTTTTGACAAATTTATAAATCGATTCAGAATAGTCACATTTTTTGAACAGATTAAATATAATCCAACATCAGAAAAATAAGTAGTAATATTGCCTATTTTTTATATAACTGTATTAAAATTTAGAATACCTTAATCAATACTTATTTTACATTGATTGAAAATATTTTCATTTGAGTATATATGTCACAAGTTTTTAAATTGAACAAATGATCATTAGCACTGTTTAATTCATATAACAAATTTAAAGATATAGCCCTCCGATTTCAGTTTACACGAATGTTTGATGTTTGGTAACACGTAGAAATAAACTACTAGACTTTCTAAATTGACCAACTTTTTATCTTCGTAAACCAAAAATCATTGATTATAATCAAAACCTGCCAACTTTATAATTTCGCAATAAGTTTATCCTAAACTGTCAAATCTTTCTAACTGCATTAAGAGATCAAATTAATATTTACCAGTCATCTAGAATACATCAAACCAGAATTACGTGTTCACTATGTATCATAGATAATGGTAGACGAAAATTTTAGACTGTCGTTTAAAAACAGTAGAATTGGCCAAAACTAACTAAAATGAATATTATTTTCTAAACACTCAAAGCTTTCTCCACCCATTACATAAATTTCCTTCGATCCTACAACTAGCACCAGACATATCATTATATCTTTCCTATCTATCACAACCTTTCCTTTTATATCACCTGTGCTTTCACTGAAGTATAACATACTTTGCAACAGTTTTCAATAAAAAAAGTTGTGTTCTTGTAAAGATTAATAATTAGTTGTAACAGATACTGTCAGTTTCAACTCTTAAAAAAGCTGTAGCGATGACTATAAATCGCATAAACTATTTAATATCTTCTTCTCACACAAGTAAATAAATGAATTTACAAATTCAGAATATCACTTTTGAAAACTTCCTCAGCATATAGCATTTTCACCTTTGGAGTTGAAAAAAATTTTACTGTTGCAGCGTAGTATACCTTGTGAGTCATAAACAAAAATACAAACAATTTAGATCTTAAATCCAAGTCATATCAGGGTATCACATTACCATAAACAACTTTTTCAACAATTAAACTTAACATACAATCTTATCCATCAAACATAACAGTTCTATAACTCTAATTCCATTCAAAATCAAACAATTCTATTAATAAATACTAAAAAGGTTGAAGACACAAGAAATTATCAGAAAAGTAAATGAGTTCACACCATGCAAATTAAAGGTATCCATTTTTGATTAGATAATCTAAGATTTGAAATGAACTAGACATTGTGTGGTGCACTATGAGGCGTTATTTACAGGTTTAAGTTTTTTTTATCCTAAAATATACTATATTTTATAGTTTTATACTGGATAATTCTTCCCCCAAATTTCTAACATGCGTGGCGATTGTCCATTCAAGTTATTATCACAAATTACATCAGTTAACCTTTCTTCATGTTTCATAAAGCAGTTAAAAAAATAACTCTGGTTTGGTATTACTTGGAATTAAAAGTTTGCTTTAAAAATATTATATTCTCCAGAAATCCCTCACGATATTGTTTTAATTATCGACTTACAGTTTAGTTTGTATAAGTGAGTAGTGACTTCCTTTAACCGTCTAACCTAGTACTTTCCCAATCCAGAATAACTCAACACTTGAACAGCAAGTCCAGCAAGCTAATTTTACAAAAAATTAGTAATTAGTAACAGAGTACGTTTAGTGGCTGAAATCAAGTAATTTGTGTCAAATATTAAAGAAATTAGCTCCAAATGTTTTTTTCAGGGATTAGGTTTATGACATTTTTTGTCCTATTTCTTTGGAATGTTTCTATTAGTATTGAAACCTATTCTTAACTTTTAGTACCGGAAACATTTAAATTTATATTTTATCTTGCATGTGTGGTAACCTATACAATCGGAAATATTAGAAAAAAAGATCTCTGTAAAAAATCAATCTAAGATGTGATGCATAAACAGTTAAAACCCAAATATGCTAAGGAATCATGAATATTACATACTAAAGGAACGTTAATAAACTATAAAATACCCAAGCAAATAACACATGTACATTCCATTTGTGATTAAGCTGCGTACACTTGAAACCTGTCAGTAACTTTTGAAACTTATTTCACAAAGCAATTTGGAGGTGTACACTGATTGTAACGAGTGACAATATTTCTTTAGTAATTGCTTCATTTATTGACAGGATCAATGTTAAAATAAATCATGTATATTACACTACAAACACTAACATTGTAATGAGGTTTATTGCTTCATAGCATGTGTCTTGTGTGAGTTGGTCACAGGAATATTGCAAATCTCGGCCCAACAATCCACCTTTGGCTTTCGGATCTGTTTTAGTGGTAGTGCACTTGGTATTCCTTTGAATTTGTACCTTTTTGATTTTTTGTTAGAAATTAAACTTAAAATATCCA